TAAACACCGTAAAACCTGTGCCTGTGCTGTCAGGCCTCTTTTTCTGAAACCCTCCTCTGTGCTTTTAAACCAATGTCCTTTTTTTCTTTCTTTTTCTACCTGGCAGGAGCGCTCCAGAGCTCTTCAGCTCAGATGATTGAGAAGGGACCTCGTGTTGTTGCCTGAACTTTGTTAAATCATTTTTTTATGTGTTACAGCTAACGGAAGGCAGCGCGTCCCTGTGCTTGTGTGGGGCTCTGGGAAACGGATCCTCGGAGCTCTGGAAGCTGCTGTTGGGATACGGGGCTGCTGTGGCACAAACCCTGTGCGGGGACGGGGACGGGGACACCAGCCCTGCGGGGTGATGCCCTGCAGGCCCCTGCGCTAAGGGAGCACCCGGAGCGTTGGCAGGCGTAGCTCTTGTCCCTGCTGTTTTATGGCTTTTTATGTTGCTGACTTATTGAAGTCTGGATGAATGATCTGAAAATGTTTTTGAAGGAACATAACAACAGTAATTATGTTGGTGTTTAGAGCCACCCATAAACCCAGGTTGTTACGTTCCTGGTCTCTCTTTTCTAGGCAGCTTTTGAAACGAGTCCCGGGAGCTGCGACCTGGTGGATCTCCATCCTGGTCCCCTTGCGCGGATCCTCCCAGGGCGCCTGGGGACTTCACGGGCAGGGGGACTCCCTGGGGACGTTAGCAGTGTCCCGGGACGTGTCCTGCACCGTCCTGCGGCCGGCAGGGCTCCCGCGCCGGGCAGCAGCGACGCTGCCCTGCTCCGTCGGCGCCCGTCGCTGCAGCGGGGCCGCCCGCGCCGTGGGGCTGCTTGCCGACCTCAGGAAAAAGAACGTTAGGAAGCAAAAAGGAGGCAAATGCTGAGAATTGCTGCATGTGAGTGCGAAGGAAAGTGCTTTTGCAAGTACAGGAAAAGGTTTATGGTTTAAAACGCTGAATTAAATAAAGAAGTGAAGATTTATCTATAAGTAAAGACCAGTCCTCGCTGGAGCCTTCCAGCAGCAGCAGCTGAGCCCGGCAGGAGCCTTTTGCCCTCAGACGGCGCCTGCACTTTGGCAGCTGCTGGTTACGGAAGGCGAGGGCGGCCCACGAGGGGCCAGGGGCGACCGGGGGCTGCTGGCAGCCTTTGGGGAGGACCGAGCGCTTTTGGGCAGGCTGCAGTTCACTGGGGTTCTGGGTCTAGGTGATTTGGCTACAAAAAACCGGCGTGGCTAAGGATGCCCAGCAAACTTCAATAAACTAAAAACCAATCCTGCAAAAAGAAAAAAATCAGGCTTTAAAATATCTGAGTAACTATAGGCAAGAATTTTGCATTTTATTGGTGTGGTGGACGATGGCGGCAGGATTGCCTCTCTCCAGCACACAGGAGCTTGGAGGTTCCCAAAGGAAACGCGCGCTCCCTCGGGCTTCCCAGGGAGCAGGGACAGGTTTCTCCTGGATCCTACCCGCTCCGTAGCGCGTTCTCTCCCCCGACGGCGGCGACGGCACCAGCGGAGCTGCGGGAAGGGACCCCCATACCGTACGCG